GAAATTAAAATTATCAACCTACAGAAGACTGAATTCAAAGACACCCCGAAAATCAAAGTGAAAAAATTATGCATCAAGCTAGTCCGTTTTGCTGAAATTTCATTGCAGCAGCTCAAAAAATGGTACTTAGTAGTTTGTATGGCCCCCACATGCTTGTATGCATGCCTGACAACATTGGGCATGCTCCCAATGAGATGGTGTCCTGGGGTATTTCCTCCAAGATCTGGACTAGGACATCACTGAGCTCCTGGACAGTCTGAGATGCAACCTGGTGGCGTTGGAAGGACCGAAACATGATATGCCAGAGGTGTTCTATTGGATTTAGGTCAAGCGAGCGTGGGGGGCCATTCAATGGTATCAATTTCTTCACCCTCCAGGAACTGCCTGCATACTCTCACCACATGAGACCGGGCATTGTCGTGCACCAGGAAGACCCACGGCACCAGCATAGGGTCTGATAATGGGTCCAATGATTTCATCCTGATACCTAATGGCAGTCAGGGTGCCATTTTCTAGCCTGTAGAGGTCTGTGCATCCCTCCATGGATATGCCTCCCCAGACCATCACTGACCCACCACCAAAACAGTCATGCTGAATGATGTTACAGGCAGCATAACATTCTCCATGGCTTCTCCAGACCCTTTCACGTCTGTCACGTGTGCTCAGGGTGAACCTGCTCTCATCTGTGAATAGCACAGGGTGCCAGTGGTGGAACTGCAAATTCTGTGGCAAATGCAAATCGAGCTCTATGATGCCGGGCAGTCTGCACAAGATCCACTAAAGGACGTCGGGTCCTCAGGCCACCCTTATGAAGTCTGTTTCTGATTGTTTGATCAGAGACATTCACACCAGTGGCTTGCTGGAGGTCATTTTGTAAGGCTGTGGCAGTGCTCATCCTGTCCTGTTCCTCCTTGGACAAAGGACCAGATACTGGTCCTACTGATGAGTTAAGGACCTTCTAAGGCTCTGTCCAGCTCTCCTAGAGTAACTGCCTGTCTAAAAAGTGTTCCTCTAATTTTTTTTGAGCAGTGTATATTCATATATTAATAGGTCCGCATTCCAGGATGAATGTGCACTCCATACAATTTATGAACCAAAAAGTTCCATATATAAAACTTTTATGTGAAAATCAAAATGCTTTATCTGTGAATCAGACATGCTCCCCCACCAGACACCATGTGCTCTCACCATCCAATTTGACCTATAGAAAAATAGGTTAAATGCACCTTCCTCTTTAAGGGGTTTTGTGCCTCCGGGATCTTCCAGACAGTGTCTCTTTTCTCCACGTTTACCTGGCTTGTGGATTAAAGAATGTTAACCCAACATTTCATATTCTTTTGTGTGAAATACCTGTTCCTGCCAGTGACTCTGCTTTCCTATAGAAACTGACCACACTAAGAATGAGAGCACAGCGTGGGCAATTTTCTGGCTGTGTTGGAACTCAGTCTGCTCTCATCCAATGATCACACTGGTGTTGGCATGCCCCTCTCCCCTGCACAGAAATTCACTGGGAAGTTCACTATGCTTCTGTTTATACTCCCACAGCTCTCTGAGCTCCTTATGAAGCTGAGAACAGAGAAAATGTGATCACTTATGAAAGGATATGCCAGGAACCATAAACCAGGTGGAGACAGAAAGTGCAGTTAAAATCACACCTTTAATAAAATAGAAAAATAACACAGTTTAGGAACATAGTCAAAACAGAAGCCAGGGTTTGAATGTCAGAGCGGGTAGTCAGAGGATCCAGGGTCAGGAAAACAGAAGTCAGCATAATCAGGAGCCTAAAAGCAGGAACAGGAATCTGAAGAGAAGTCAGCCAAACCGAGTTGTACACTCATAGACCACGCGAGGACAAGGAGGAAATGAGCAAAGCTGCTAAAATAGCAAAAAAGACTGGCTGTAGGCTGAACTAATGAGGCAGGTAATGGTATCCAGGTGAGTCACCTTTGAGACGAGTGGCTAGTAATTAACCAACAGCTGAGCAACTTCTGAGCACTGAAAGGAAAGAGCTGCTCGGTTAGTAGCAGGAGCCCAGCCCTGACAGTATATTTATAATCTTTTTTTATGTATGCACACTAATGTTTTGCCTTTCATTTCTATTTTAAGCTGAATGGGTTGCTTTACAAGGTGAGGAAATATAATTTAATGCCCAACTCCAAAATGATGACTCCCTAGATTAGCTAAAAAAAAAATAAAACATCATCGTGATTTCCACTAAAAACATATCTTTTATAAAAAATTATCCAAAAGTTACATTCACTTTTAAGTGTGTATCAAAAGGCTGGTGCACTACAGTGAACAAATTTATGCAGTATTGAATAATATAATGGGCAGCTCTGAAATGCTCTCAGATAACATGTTCTTAGGTCAAGAGTGCTGACACCACTGACTCTACCCTACACGTTACATCACAATCACATCACTTCCTCAGGGGACACATGAGGAATAAGACTAATTTTTAGTGCTAGCAGCCTTACTTTTGATTAGTTGGTGCAGGAATATCTATGTTAAATGATCATTTCCTTTTTTTACAAGGGTTGTAGAGGGTTTTTACATTTCTTGTTACAACAGTGTATCTGCTATGGTGTGCACACATGCACACTTCCAAATTTTACCCTGGGTGTCAGCTGCGGTCAATCAGGTGTGACTACATCACTCGGCAGCATCCTTAAGTGCTTATTCAGTTACTTAACCTCTGCTTGGTCCATGAAGTCCATAGCCGCTAATATAGGTACACAACACCTTTCACTCCTAGCCATGGGCACCATTCCTACCGGCCACTACCTGTTGCTCCTTCCACTGTTTTTGGTATGTTCCATCTCTTGCTCCTGGGCACAGGTACAATTCTAAATATTTACATGAGCAAAGCCTAGTGGTGACGTCATTACGTCTGTCTAGAGAGCCAGCGGGCACTTGTGATATGCTGTTGACTCTTTGTTGTTTGTGAGTACATACTGATTTTATAATAAACAAGGTTTAAACGTACTTTACAATCAGCCATCCTTGCTTTCTCCCTGGTATGGTTGGTATGAAAGTGGTGACCATCCATCCATTCGGGATCTGTCCCTAAGAGCACTGTCAGACCTCCTTTGTGTTGGGGTCTGATTGTTTGGTAAGCTGCTGCATGACCATAAGGTGGCTGGTGCACTTATATTGGTGTGAAGATTATTTCACTTAATGATGGATTTTATGATACCTAATATATTTTATGATTTTGATATGTACATGTCTATTAATTTTGAATGACAGCGCAAAACATATTTTGGATTTTGCTCCATTTGCCAAACTCTACACCACAATGCCCTTACAACTGGGCACACCTACTGTACACGTGCTATGCTCCATATGCCAAACTCTGCTTCTCTGAGCTCTAGCAGCTGGGCACATTCAAGCATCTCTCTTTTGAGTCTTATGGCTGCTCCCATTGATTGTCCCATCACATATTCCTACCATGTCTTCCAGTATCTGGGAAATCAGATACCATGAGGGGGACCCTAGCAAATACTGCCCATCCCTTAGACTACACTCTTCAGTGAACCCAATTGTTTTCAGAAAGGAGTCTAGTTTGCTTTATTTTGCTAAATTCATAACGAAGGCATGATGGAGATATGATAGTTAAAAGCTATGCTAGGCCATAGACAGCAATAGAGCTTGCTAAACATGATCATCAGGCATCAATAAAATCAGAACTCAGGATCTGGTCAAGGACCTGGTTACAGGTCAAGCTGCAAAATTTCAGCAAAGGGACTAGGGACATGTTTATAATTTTATCCAAGGTGAAGTGTTCAGTTACTTGGCCTAGATGTGAACCCTTACCTTGTAAAATAACTCATTCAGCATTCAGTTTAAAATAGAATTGCAAGGCAAAACATTTTTATAGTGTGTGTGTGTATATATATTTCCACTGAAGAACTGTACAGGGGGTGTGTCAGCACTTGTCTGACCAATGGATTGTAAGCTCTAACGAGCAGGGCCCTCTGTTTCCTTTTGTACCAAATTGTATTATAACTGTAATGTCTACCTTCATCTTGTAAAGCATTGCGCTATATAAATCCTGTATAATAATAATAATGGAGTACAGGCAGTCTATGCTCCCAGATAGAATGCAAAGAAGAAAACTGACCACACTAGGATACATGTGCTTCCATTCTTAGCATGGTCAGTTTAAAATAGGAAAACAGAGTGATGGCAGGATCACCAGGTATTTCACACAAAGGAAGCAATGCTGAGAACAGGACACCTTTTTATTACAGATACACAGTAACAAAGACATATATCAGAAATACTTTAAACTTTAAAACTTTATTAAAAACTTTGATAAAACAGATATCGGTCTTTTTTCCACACTAATGTTTCCATGATTGGAGATCCCCAGCTAGCTGTCAAAGCGGGGAGTGGGGCCGGTCTGATCATAACATGTTACACCCTGAATATGGGTGTAACATTACGAAAGGTGAACTTATCCTTTAACTACTTGCCTACCGGGCACTTATACCCCCTTCTTTACCAGGCCAATTTTCAGCTTTCAGAGCTGTCGCACTTTGATTGAGAATTGCGCGGTCATGCAAGATTGTACCCATATGACATTTTTATAATTTTTTTCTCACAAATAGAGCTTTCTTTTGGTATTTAATCACCGCTGGGCATTTTATTTTGTGCATTGTAAACAAAAAAAGTGCAAAAAATTTGAAAAAAAAAAGTTTCTTTGTTTCTATTATAAAATTTTTTCAAACAGGTAATTTTTCTCCTTCACTGATGTGCGTTGATGAGGCAGCACTGATGGGCACTGATAGGCAGCATTGATAGGCAGCACTAATGAGGTGGCACGGATAGGTGGCACTGATAGACAGCACTGATAGGTGGCACTGACTGGCATCACTGTTGGGCACTGACTGATGGCACTGCTAGGCATTGACTGGCACAACTGCTGAGCACTGACTGGCACAACCGCTGGGCACTGACTGGTGGCACTGACTGGCAGCACTGCTGGGCTGCACTGATGGGCACTGGTGGGCAGCACTGGTGGGCACAGGTGGGTGGCACTGGTGGGCACAGGTGGGTAGCACTGCTGGGCACAGGTAGATGGCACTTCTGGGCACAGGTGTGTGGCACTGCTGGGTGGCACAGGTGGGTGCACTGCTGGACACAGGAGGGTGCACTGCTGGGCACAGGTGGGCGCACTGCTGGGCACAGGTGGGTGGAAATGGTGGGTGGCACTGCTGGGCACAGGTGGGCGGAAATGGTGGGTGGTACTGCTGGGCACCAATCATCAGGGCACTGATCATCAGTGCCCTGATGATCGGTGCCGATCCCTGCTCTGACAACTGTCGGTTCTCGGCAGTACTTTCCTCACGCTCTGACAGCGTGAGGAAAGTGCAGCCGAGAACCGGCAATTGCATTTCCCGTTGATCAGCGTGTCATTCGACACGGCTGATCACGTGGTAAAAGGCAGATGTGATTGGCCTTTTACCACATCATGTGATCAGCTGTGTCCGTAGGACACAGCGTTCACGGAGATCACCGGGTGCGTGCCCCCGGGGGACCGCAGGAGAGCGCATTCTGGGAGGACGTCATACAACGCCCTCCCAGAACTAGCCGGCCGCAGTGTAGCCGTCATTCGGCTATCTGCGGTTGGCAAGTAGTTAAGATGGAGGGGTTAGCCACATTACTCATAATTTATCCCTTCTTTACACACTTGTTTTTGTTGCTACTGGGATTTGGAGACTGATTCATAATAAATATTTTAAACCGACATTGGTCTTTTTTTTCCACACTGAATGGTATCATAGTAAAGAAATAAATGATGTGTAGGAACCAATTTCTATTTAACTATGGGGGTTTCAATTTACTTGCACCTAATGGGAGAAGCTAAGTTGCACATAAACCCCACATTTCCCATACTTCCTCCTCAGTGGTAATAGTGTAGAAGAATCTAATGTTCTTTGGCCATGACCTGGTATTATCAAAACTTTGAGAATTACTAATGTTTTCATTGAGGAGGACATGGTGATAAAGGGATGTGTTCACTGATACAGAAACCAAGTTTACTTATGGTGTACAACAGTACAGCTGGTACTGAATGCTAATCCTATTCCAAGATTATTGCAACTAATTTACTGAATTTACTAGTCAAAAGTAAAGCTGGACATAGATGAGTCGAAACCCGAACATTCTGTTGATCAAAAAACAAAATGGCTCATGATTTTGCATCACTTGTTACATCTTTCTAAAAAAAAACAGCATGTATGATCATGCACTTTTCAATTGAGGCATGAAAATAATGTGTCGCAGCTGGAACACTGATGATGCAAAAAACTAACAATTCAATGACTGACACAAATTTTGTTCGGTTTTCAACTCATCTATGGGTGGCTTAAATTTTCAGATTCTAGCTATCATTTTTGTTGTGGATGTTAGAAAATGAAAGCAGATTCCTGGTTGCTATAGAATACACCTCTGGTTTCCCTTTTTTTAAAGGCCAGTGTCACCGTACCTTTAAAAGTGGGGCAGGTAAAGGTATTGAAAATGTAGCGCACAGACCCCTGATGAGTCCCTCTGTTTGTCCCAGGTTCTATTCCCTATTGGGTGCAGAGCAGCCAGGCACACAGCAGCTCCTCCGTCTCTACGCAATAACCAAGCAGAAAGTGTCTTTGTAGGATTTAATGCTTGAAGATCAGGTATAGGGTGAGCCTTGGGATACTCTATATCTAGCGCAGGACACTCTCTGGTAGTGACTAAACTCTTCAGGATTAATCTCTTGTAATAGAAGGTAGTGAACATTCAGCTTTGGGGACACCCTCTTTGGAAGCAGCCCTAAGCCAGCAACTCTGGAACAGTCTCTCTACGATCTCTCTAAGACCTCCTTCCAGTATCAGTCAGATCTTGTACTGTGAGCCTCCCTTCAGCAGACTTTCTCATGACTGTTCTCACAGCTTCAGCAATAGGCCCCCCAGCAGTCTTCAGCTAAGTAGCCCAGGTGGGCAAAAAGCCCCTCCAGGCTGGGTCTCTTTCCACCAAGACATGGACCCTGCTGTTCTAGACCCCAGACAATTTATACACACCTCAACACCCTGCAGATCATTCCCTTGATCAGGGATTGGCTGAGGCTGTATTCAGCCCGTGGTCTGTCCCTCCCAACTTGCTATATTCTAGAAACAGGAATGGGGGGGGGGGGCAGTTGAGCAACCAGCAGGCCCCAGAACAGCCAAAAGCAATCAAATCTTGCCCCACTGGCTACAGAGGTGTCAAAAAAAAAAAAATCTACCTAATCCTACTAGCATCCTAATTAGGAGGGTGCTACATAAACCATAGGGCAAGGATAAGCAAATTGATCATCAATAATAAGTAAAAATGAGGTATGGCTTTTCCCTAAAAACAGCTGCCTAAAAAAAGGGATGTATTTCCCTAAAAATAGTTGCCTAAAATAACAGACTTAAGGGCTGCACATGTAGAATCCCCTCTTTAGGCAGTTATCAGTTTCTTTTAGCACTGAAAATTACTTTAAAAAGCTGTCCTAAAAAGTTAGCTTTGAAGCCCAGGAGGAGTTAAGTATAATGTGCATGTGCTTATGTGCAATTATATGCCTCTCTTGTGAACTCGTAAAGGAGATTTGTTTTATCCCTTGCCAGTCTTTACACTAGGAATTACAATATCTGTATGTGGCGGCATCTGCCCTGTGGGTTGCTGGCAGATTTCCATGACCCTGTTCCCTTAGTTGGCTCATTAATTAAAATGAAGTCTATGATTACATAGACCCAAGTACCAGTTCAGAGGGAAAGTGGTTACTGGGTGGCAGAAATGTTACATGCGTGGAATATAAAAAAAAATTATTTCTGACAAACAGAGCTGCTTCTACTTTGTGTTGTCCCTGGTCTATGTTACAGAATGAGAAGAGACCAGGACCACTTGCCAGCTGAACAGTGGAGAATGAACACTGTAGAGCTGGTCTGGTGCTGCAGACTGGTAACAAATTCAGGGAGCATACATTGGGCACTGAATAGCATAATACCGCACAGTGATTGGAGCCAGATCCTCTTAAGAGAGACCAGTGCTGTGAAAGTCTGTGGTCTGGTAGTGGGAATTTGCCAGAGAAAAAAGCAGCTGAGTGGAAAAGGTGCAGCATGCTCCTGGGGCTAATGATGAAAATGTGATGACCAATGGGGTAAAGTCAGCAAGGCTGCAATAAAGGTGTCAGTATTCCCATGCTCTTGCAAGTATTTCATGAAACAGTGTACCATCAATGAAGTGGCACCAGTGTTATGTTAATGAATGGTGCTTCCATATTCCCCTTTTTGACCCAAATTAGAAAGTTATACATAGTTAAAGAGAGAGAGTTGAAGTTCATGCATCATTGCCTGTATGATTTTCTGCAATTTAAACTAAAAATTATTTGTATGCAAATATGCTTACTTTATGTAACCAGGTTAGGACACCAATACAGGTTACACATTTTGGGGCTTTAACTGTGAGCACAGTAGTTGTACCCATGGGGGTTTTCAAGTTTGCTGGACAAAATTTACCCTTAACAGACTAGATTGAGAGACTGAAGGGTGCACAGTGTGGCTCTACCATGTTCCCCAGGTCCAGCTGGTGGACTTGGCCATTAATTCATTGGGAGGCATTGCTAGAGGTGCAGTCCTTAATTTTTCGGAAAGAGAACACGTTATTCTAGATGAGGTCATGGTATGTCCATACGAGTTAATATGCTAAAGTGATGCCCCTGCCTGACTTGTGAAAAAAGTTTTTTTTTTTTTACTAGAGTGTAATATGAAAGAAAGAGTTTACCACTGTTTGGAGTGACTCTGCAAAAGATATGGGGGCTGGCTGGAGAAGGAAGACAGCCCAGGGTGTGCTGTGGTAGCTGGCCTTGATAAACTCCTTCAGGAACAATGTATTTTATGGATTAGATGTGGATTCATAAAACAGGCCTTGAAAGACACACTGCCCCAAGCCAACTTTTTCTAAAAAACTGAGAGATATCATTGAATGTAACCAAGAAGGTTATGATTGAGTGTCATCTGTCCAGTGCATTATTTCTTCTCTCTTTGTAAAGGATTTAAACCACAGATATTTTGACCAGGAGGCGGGATGCTCAGTCTGCCTTTAAATTAGTGGCTCCTGTGATAGAAGGGCTGGCCAAAGGGTCAATGGAATTAAGCTTCAAAAGAACCAGTCAAGGTGATGTGGATGCAGCACAGCAGTGCAAAACAGAGGTATAACATACCACTGAAAAAGCCTCTTAGCTGAAAATTTAATTCACTTTAGGACCGCTCTTCAACACCAAATAGTTCTGCTACTGCAGAAGATTTTATGGAAGCCTTTATTGGTGCAAGATACACCCATCAGTCGAAAGTTTCCCTTTGGCTTGGGACAATGCTCAAAATGTACATTTACAGTGTGTGCTCAGGGTCTTACTGTATGTCTCACAGTCCTCACCTTAATGTCTAAGTCAGCTGCTGTAATGAAAGGGAGAATACAGTACCAGTAGTAGACAGGGGACGGCTAAGATGTTAAATGCATGGAATTAAAAATATAAATAGGGCTGTTTCTGTTCTGCGTTATCCCTGGCTAATGACATAATGGAGTGAGAAGATACAGGGGCATGGTTTGCTGGTTCTTGGGCTGTTTGTCAGCTGGATACTGGTGAGTGAGGAGTTTGCAGATGATCTCTGGTACTGCAGGCTGGTAACAAGTTCAGGGAACACACAGGCAGCATACCACTGGGCATTGATAGTAGCCAGCTCCTTGTCTAGGTTTTAAATTGCTCATAATGCTTCCCTTCCTTAAGCCTTTGTCTTCATTTGTACTAGAATTCGGAAGAGACTATAGCCATCACCCACTTTTAGGACCAAGCACCACCTCCTAAAGGCATATGAACTGGAATCAGAATAGTGGGAAATTGCATGGTTTTGGCCTACCAACCATGGAATAGATATCTCTAGAGATACTGTACTTTGTTTTTTGTTTCCTTTTAGACAACACTCCAAAAAAAGAAAAACAGTATTATTTATGAAAAGATGAGCATCCAAACAGGCTGATTTGCAAGAGAATATCATAAGAATTTCTGGATTGTGTTATTATTCTATCATCTCTAATGGAGAATTAAAGTAGACTAGTGGCAACATTCTCAACTAAAGGATGTTTCTCCATTTGAAATCTAATTGCATAAAATAATCAGTATAATTATTCTGATGGACAATACTGGAAAAAGTGCAATCTATATAACTAAATTAAATTCACCCCTGAGTAGAAACACTATGTCTTTTCCACATTAGGTAATGTATTTGTTTTAATTCAATGTGAATCTGTCAAATGCGAATTATCAGATTTTATTCATGCTTTTACTTTAATTCAGTGCCATTGTGCTTACAATGCTTTTGCTTGCCAGTCACTGTGTTCT